GCACAGGTGAGCACTCATTATGAACACTTGAGCTCCGGTATCAACAAATGCCGCCGTCAAACAAATACAGTCGAGCCCGACTATATCGAACCCGTTTATATCAAATTATCCCATATATCGAGCAATTCCTAAACACGGTAAGTTTACATTGAGATATATTGCAAAAGTTGCTGTTTTATCGAACGAAAATAGCAACGACAACTGATATATCGAACTCCATGTGCCTCAAAAGTGCCAAAGCAAGTTGGCTTTCCCTCGCGGTGGCGGGTAAACCTGCCGGCGCCACCCTAGAAAAGTTGGTTAGACCCGCTTGTGCGCGGGCGAACACCCCCCTCCAAGAAATGATCCTGGCCCGCCTCGCAGCGCTTACAGCCAATTAGAGGCCGTCGTGCTTTCTCTGAGGCGCGGAGGCGGTAGAAGTGAGCGCCATTTTTCTTTCTTCATGCTTGTGTGCCTGCTGCTGCTGATTCAGCGTGGTCTGTGATGTTGCCTGTTGGTGCTCTGTGAACTGTATTGGCGTGCTGTCATCATGGCTTACGCAAAGAGGCGAAATTTGCCGTTCGCCGCGAAACTCGAAATCATCAATCGGGTTAGGTGCGGTAAAAAGAAGTCCGACGTCGCCACCACGTACAAATTCCAAGGAGCACCTTGAGTACTATCCTGAAGAACAAGCAGACATCAGGACCAAGTCGGACAAAAAGCCAGGTGCCCGTGGCACCCGACGTGTACGCGCTTCTGTGTATAAAGATGTTGATGCGGCCGTTTACAAGTGGTTTGTGGACGTTCGTCGTGGAAACATCCCGGTGTCCGGCCCTATGATCGATCAGAAAGCCAAGGACCTTGCTTTTCTACTTGGCAGGAATGATTTACAAGGCGGTTCAGGCTGGCTTCAGCGGTTCAAAGAACGGCACGACATCGTTGGCAAAGCTGCTACAGGTGAAAGGCAGAGCAGCGACCTGGACAGCGTAGAAAAATGGCTCGAGGAAAACTGGTGAGATATCGCAGCAAGATATAGAGCCCAAGATATCTTCAAGTGGCTGATGAAACCGCTCTATTTTGGCAAATGTTGCCAAACAAGACACTTGCGGTCCGTGGCGACAAGACAGCGGCGCAAGGCAAAACAAAGCTCGTGTGTCCGTACTGTTTGGCAGCTAATTTAGACGGATCGAAAAAGCTTCGACCTCTGGTTATCGGGAAAGCACGGCACCGTGGTGTTTTCAAAATGCGCTGTCGCTTCCAGTTACCTACCGAGCAAACTCAAAAGCGTGGATGACCGGGGAGCTTTTCAGCAGATGGCTATCGTCGTGGAATGATGATTTCGTAGGCGAAAATCGCAAGGTGTGCCTGCTCGTGGACAATTGTTCATCGCACCACTGCAGTACAACCTTCAGCAACATCGAGCTGCGTTTTTTGCCCCCGAACACTACGTCTGTACTGCAACCACTGGATTAAGGCGTTATATGCGCAATGAAAGCCGGCTATCGGAAGCGCCTGGTGGAGAGGCTGCTGCAGAACCTTCGTGTCGGCAGGGAGCTTAAGATCAACTTGCTCGGAGCTATTTCTATGTTGAGTAGACCATGGGTAGATGTCAAGAAGGAGACGATACAAACTGCTTTAGGCATGCCGGCTTCCGCATGCCTGGTGATGACACCCCAAATTCTGACAGCACTGAAGACAGCGCAGGTGGTTTCGGCCGAAGTTTGGAACAAGCTGGCAGAGTTCCCGGGTGTTATCGACGGATCGACATTCGACGAGCTCGTCAGTGCGGACGATGATGTCCCCATCATGGGCCAATTACAGGATGAGGATTACATTGCAGACATCGTGCCGACTACGAGCCAAAGCGACAGCAATATGAAAATCGACGACGGCCCATTGCCTACATCCTCAGAAGTGATTAGTGCACTTGCGTTGGTCCGGCGCTATTGCTTGAATGTGGAAGGTTTGCGGCCTCACCAGCTCCGACTCGTTGGACATTGTGGAGGCGTGCGTGCTGTCGCAGGCAGCGAAATCGTTGACACAAAAAAATCTGGGACTATTTTGTTCCACAGTAGGGCACGCAAGTAAGCCATCATATTAATAAAGTACTTTCTTCTAGTTTGTTATGTGCCTTTGTGTGAAAACCTAGTATACCGGGCCTATATCGAATTATGCCATATATCGAACTAATAAACGCTTTTTGGCAAGTTAGATATACCCGGGTTCGACTGTACCGTCCACATACACCTCAATCAAGTTCGTATTAGTGGGGAGCGTCAACGGAGAATTTGGATCAGTCGCAATTGCTGCAGCGCTACCTTCCGGAGCTGCGTGGTCTAGTTTTCCGTCCGAGAGGATTCATAGTTGAACCGGCGACGGATAGCGGCGTGGTTGGGGCAATGGGGAACGGCGGCGTTGAGGTGAAGGCGAACGAGCAGTGAAGCGGCTGTTAGGGGCGTCGAAAGAAGGGTACACACGACTGGGCGAATACCGGCGGGAGTCCTCGTATGGGCAAGAAGAGAAGTATGGGCTCTAGTTTGAGGGCGTCAAAGTGCTGCGGCAGTAGCGGGAGATACGGCCAACTCGGCAGCAGCGGGAAGCAGATCGGTTTGTCGTCTGCAATTCTCCATTCCGTCGGATTGCGGGATCACGAAAGAAAATGTGAGTCATGGCGTGGTGAATTTATTATCATTGGTCTGGAGGTGGGTCGAGAGACAGAGCAGGCCACAGGAAAACCGAGCTTTGCAATTTCCTGCCTCACGACGGCTTGAATAACGGAGACTGCCGCAGGCGTTTGTGCGGCGCCATGGTCGAGTGGATGCAGAGGAAATGGTGCTGAACTTGACGCCTCAAGCTCCCGTTGAACTATACATGTCACGCTGTCCTGCATGGGTGGTGCGGCACCAAGATCGGTGCAGGTTGATGTAACAGCCGTGTTTGGTAGCCGCGTAAATTGGGACAGAACACCGCGGCCTTTGGCCATTTCGAAGCGGCGGTATCCTTGATAGTCATATCTACGGTCATGACGTTGGGTACACGAGCAAGTTGAAGGCGTCGTCCGCGATGCCCTTGAGTATGTGGCCCACCTTGTCACTCTCTGTCATTTGCTCGTCCACTTTTCGGCACAACGCGAGCACGCCCTGTATGTACGAGACATACGACTCAGTTGAGGACTGCACACGAGTGGCAAATTCTTTCCCGCTTCCATTTGGCGGCCAAACGGGTCTCCAAAGATGTCGCGTAGTCGCTCTTTGAAGGTATCCAAGATGGTGAGCTCGGTCTCATGGGCATCGTACCAGACACGTGGGGTGCCGTTCAAGTAAAATATTACGTTGGCGAGCATCATGGTAGGGTCCATCGGTGTGTCTGGCTAACATGCTCATACATACGGAGCCCGTAGTCAACATCAAGCCCAGGTTGTGCAGAGAATGTACCAGGATCACGGGGGTAGGCCATCGTCAGGTATGTAGTGGCTGGAGCTACAGATGGAGACTGAACGGTGTGGCCACTGTGAAGCTTCGTGGTGAAGACGGGGAACGTTTCATTTCCACCAAATATTTTACGGAAAAAAAGGGCCGGTGTTAAATACATCTAATCTCCAGCCCCGTATCGACGGGGCTGGAGATTAGATGTATTTAAAACCGTGGCGAGACCAGTTCACCAGCGATCGAGCGGAGACAACCCTTCGTCTTCCTCGTCAGGCACACACGTGCATCGCCCCTAGAGTATCAATATGCACACATATAGCAATATGAAGTAAGGCTGGCAGCCAACTCTTTTAGATCCAATATCGCGGAATTTCCATAGAACGCTGTTGTAAGCCAAAATGGCCGCTCCATGGAGAAGTGCTTCTTAAACAGTCTCTTCGCCCAAAAAGTGCACTAATGCTTGCCGAGATAGCATGCGCACCAGCTGTTGCAACTGCATCCTTAAAATAAAAATTCATCCTTGCTACTCGAGCATGAAAAAAACGTGGGGGAGGAGATGGAGTGTTCATGCCCATTCAAGACGGGTGGTTTTCTTTCTGTTTGAGCATTCGACGGCAGTTCTAACACGCAGGGGGATGTTATCGTATGTGCCCTCCAGGTGATAGAGATGGGCCGGCTTATTTGATCTTTGCTTCAGCAGCGATTGTGTGCTTTTAGCCGCATGGAAGTTATGATTCACGGGTGCAACTTATCAATTTAGACTAGATATGGAACATGGCAGCGATAGCAAAAACCTGCCAGGAGTACCCATATAATAGCTATCATAATATTAATGCCGCCTTTTACTGCTAAATAAGTGTTTTGGGTTAGCTTTGCTTTTAGTTTTTTTTTTTGTTTAATTTGTGCATTGATTTTCGGAATTTTTGTATCGGAACTGTACATAACAAATCCTCTTTATAACCAATTTTTTCGGGAATTTGTCGATTTTGTTATATCCAGGTTTAACTGTACATGCGGTTCAATAACGGACAGCAAGATTGTGCAGAGGGTTTGGCTAGTGGATAACCTCAACGTCAAAAACAAACTGCCACCGAGGGCTACCGATTTCACCACAAGTCTTCCTCTTGCGCAATGTCTCTAGTTTTGTTGACGAAGATAATGCTGAAGAGGCACCTCGACATGTGTAGGGCTGGGAAAACTTGCTAGCCGCAGCCAGGTTCAGCAAGAGAAGATGACAGACTATTTTTATGACAGTGACAGGGTTGAAGCAATAAAAGTGCAGTTTATTGTGTATTTTCCTTAATTGAAAGTGCATTTAATTCGAATTTTTTTGCAGTTGCCTGAACTTCGTATTAACATAAGTCGTCTCTATAGTGTTGGCACACGCATGTCACCTATTGAAGGGTGGCACTGGCATTCTTGAACATGTATAGCGAATTTTCGCATCTATCCACTTTTTCCCGACAGTGTAACTTTTCAGTAGATGGTCAGCATTTTAGTATTTCCTGTTCATTTTTTCGTTGTTTTTTACATGACGAATGCCTACCAACTAGTTAAACTTTTTGTCAACCTGAAACAATGGTAGGTTCTCACCTGCTGTAGTTAAGGCAAAAGCTACAGGATTGTTTCCTGCTCTGGTAGGTTTAGATGCTTGCTTTACTGTAGACTTGCTGCTAACAGGTCGTTCAACAGGCTCGAGGCTGCCACTTGATGATGGGGCCACATGGCAACTCCTGATGTGGGACATAAGTCCAGAGCGCCAGGCACAGGAGAAGCTACAAAATCTGCAGTGATATGTGGTCACCACATCCATGAAATCCTCCAGGCGCTCCACTCGCTCTACACGTCGACCAGTCTGCAATTGTAAAAAGCACAACAAATGAAATTTATGGAAACTGCTACGAAACTGCAGTTTGGCATGTGAAAGAGATACCAAACTTCAGTTTTTGACATAGGCTGGCAAATTCACTCATGAGTTGACTCACTCAGACTAACTCAGACTAAGATCTAGCCGCAAGTTCGATTTTGAGTGAGTCCTGGTGAGTAATATTTATGAGAGTCTGAGCCCCGGTGAATCTAGCTAAAGAAAACATTGGTGAATCTGAGCCTGAGTGAGCCCTAAGCAGAAAATATATTTCTTGAGTGTGTCTAAGCGAGCTCCACTTTTTATTGCCGACCTATGCTTCTATCTGCTCACCTATCAGCATTACTAACAGCCTTATGTCACCATATGTTTACACTGAACTCTATAAACACAAACCTCCAAGCTTTAGCGTCCATGTGCCCCTTCAACATTCATTGGTCAAAGGCGGAAATTGGAAGGGGGTGCCATGACCTCCCCCAATCACTTTTTCTGGACCCTGGATGGATGTTCAAGACAGAAATTTCTCCTGAGAGTCTCATATTTAATAAAACAGTCCTAAATGAATTGCAGCCCCTCATAACTCATACTTCAAGGTACAAGAAAAAAAGTCGTGTCATAAAGCACCGATTATGTGGGATAACAGAGTTGAAGAGCATTTACACTATAATCAGAAAAGCTAGTACTAGTACTTCGCTCGCGGTATCATGAGTAGATTCGACTCACTCAGTCTCACTCACACTAAGGTCAAGCAGTGACTTTTAATGAGTCCGGCTGAGCAATGTCGGCGAGTTTAAGCCTGAATTAGTCCGATCGAACAAAAGTTTAGTGAGGCCGAATCTGAGTTAGTCTAGTTGACGAAAATTTCGTTGAATCTGAGCCCGAGTGAACTCTCAGGGCAAAATATATTTCTTGAGTAAGTTCGAGTGAGTTCCAATGTTTTTGCCAACTTATGATTTTTGATGTAACCGCAATGTCAAAAGAGTACTGACAGAAAAAACTGTCCACGAGAGTAATTTTGGCTTGTTGGTACATTTTACTCATAGTAAATTCAATCTTTTATGCAAAATAAAAGTGCTTCACAGGTTCATTTTTACAATGCAAATGACACAAGAATGCTTGAATATTATGGCAGTTAAAAAAAACAACTAATTTTTCTACATCATTAAAATAAATTTTGTTCACCCTGAGGTTTGTCAATCATTATTTCATGCCGCACCAGTGAAGCCGCATAAAAGTGTGAATTTTTCCTGCATGTGTCTTCGTGCCACCATGTCATGTGCATTTACTGTTATGTTTGTGGCATAACTTCATGACAATGTTAATTTCTGGGGTTTAACCGAAAATATGATTACAATGGACACCACAATAAAGGCTCCGCAAGTTTCAACCACGTGGGGTTTTTAAACGTGCACCCAGATCTAAGCCCTCACACCTCAAGAAATGTAAAATTTTACGTGTTCATAAAAATTCTACCACTCTTTCATTCTACCAATTGAATAATACCCCCTTAGATCTTGTGAATTCATACTAGCATTTGGGCATTCACATAACTTCAAATCTAACCTGGTCTGTTCAAATAGAGTATATAATCAGTAAATCTAACAGCACGCTTCATTACTTATGCCATAACTTTTCAAATGCCTTATCATCCTTAAAATTACTACTTTATCAGTAATTAGTGCACCCCAAATTAGCCTAAACTGCAGAAGTGTGGGGCCCCCACAATGAAAACTTCATCTTTTCTCTAGAGCTCGTTCAAAATAATTCAGTTCGATTATTTTTTTAACTATAACCGTATTTTCAATGAAAGCTAATCTATGTCTTCCATAATTAGCATCTCGAAGAAAAATAGCTCACTTAACTTTGTTTCGTAAGTTATACGATCATTCATCTCTTAAACATGACTTCATTTCACAGCCGCATTACTTATCGTACTGCATCGACCATCGCTTCAAAGTCAGAATTCAAACAGGAAATACTAACGCCTTTAGTCATTTTTTATTCGCCAGAACATCTCGGCAATGGGACCACCTTTCCAATGACATAGTCGCCATCAATGATAAACTTTATCGCCAGGCTATTTAACTCGGAAAAAATAACATGTTTTTTTTTTAATTTCTGTACTGTTGAATAATAATAACAAATTAGCTAACATTCCATACGCAGGAATAATGTCGTGTTACCTTGTTTGTTATGTTAGTACTAGCTAAGCATTTCTTAACTACACTGTATGTACTGCTATTATCATCGGTTGTTTTATTGTACTACTGTATAATTTTCTTGTTGTATTATATTAATACCCAATTTATGTACAATTTTCCATTTACCGCTCTTTTCTGTGATGCTCTAGGGCCTTGAGGGTAAAATAAATAAAAAAAACGTGGCTGACTCCCTATATAGGAATCAGTATAACACAAAAGTGAAACGTGCCTTTACAAAGGTAATTGAGCATTTATTGTGCATTATTTCAGCGACAGCAACAAATTGCAAGGTCACGGCAAGCAGGCTGAAACTTGCAACGCACACCTTAAGCAGAAAGCACACACAAAATTAGCATACACATGACGAGCACGGACTAACCACTGCCACAGCTTGACACTTAAAGCGCGCACCAAACACAACAGCGATTGCCCAGCCCTTGGACCAAGGCATCATTCAAGCTGTAAAACAGCTCTACAAGAAGAATCTGCTGCGCAGATTTCTTCTCGCCATTGAATGTGGCAAATTATTCTCCATCGACCTGATTGGCACGATTCACCTGCTCGAATACTCGTGGCGGCAGGTTGAAGCAATCACAGTTCAAAATTGCTTCAAGCGTTCTGGCTACAGAGTGTGTGCGGGCGACGCAGATGACGCCAGTGACACCATCGACCAGACTTCGGACATCGTAGACGAAGCTTGCAAAACTCTGCTAGCTGAAGTGCTGGAGCAGCAGGGCGTTACGGAAGGCATTCACTTCCCAGACTTAAGACACGCAGACAGCGATGTGCAGACATCTCCGGACATGTCCGACGAAGCCATTGTTGCCTCGGTTGTCGAAGTGTCGCCAAATGATAGTGATGAGGACGACATGGAAAGCGACAACACGGGTGATCCAGGTCCGACAGTGGCCGAAGCTGTGCATTGCGTCAGCGTCATGCGGGTATTTGCCGAGAAGATGGGGCTGGCGGAAAAGCTGGCTCACAGCATAAGTGAGTTTGAGGCCACTGTCGTTGCTGCTAGGCCTACGCGTCGTCGAATGAAGATTACAGACTTTGTCAAGTGAAGTTAATAAATTACTGCAAGTTTTTTGTTCTTTCATCGCACTCCCTAAAGGTTTCTTTTTTTTGACATGTAAGTGAGCGACCTGACACTATTTCGGTTAAGCAGTACTACCATTTAATACGTACTTTTTCCGAGCTCCGGCCAACTACGGTTTAACGAGGTTCACTGTACCAACCAACCGCCATGGCAATTACTGGCGTGCCGTGAAACGCTACAGGAGTAAATAATGTCAAAGACAAGACAGTGGAGCCACACCACTGTTGAAGCAGCTCAACAGATGACACATCATTCATCCTTCGTAAAGCACCACTCAGTGAACATGTCGCCAAAGAGGCCAAGCCAGCAAAGTTGATCAACTCAGCAACACCAAAACATAACATCAACGCCAAGATAAACACCAAAACACCTGTCTCGCATCAAAAGCCTAAGCCCAGAGCACCAGCGCAGCACAACAAGGACCCTGTTTTGGAATCCAATTCTTTCTAAGACAAAGCACCGAAGGAAAGGCGCCACCAGCTGCTACATTGCAACAGGGAGCTGACCAATCAAGAGCTCCTGGCAAGCAGACCGGCGCATTCGATAACCCAGAATCTGAAGCCGTAGCACCACCGAGTAAGAAGTCTGTGCACAAAGCAGTTGCCATGAAACGCGAACAATCGATGCAACAGGACAGCTTTTCCAATTCTTCTGGGAACGACTTGTCGAAACCGCCTCTTGACAAGAAGCAAGATATTGCAAAGACGGCACGGGTGCCTACAATGCTGCGCCAGCCAAGAAAGCTGCAGCCAAGCGAGACAAGTCTTCAAGCACAATCAGTTCAGATAAGCCTGAGCCGACGAAGAAGATGGCGCTGACATCAAGAAGTGCTGCCCCTCTGCCTTTGGCCTCACCGAAAGCGACGCTGGCTAAACCCCAGAAGGATGACGACAGCGACTCAACCCCAGAAAGCGAAGACGGTCAGCCTTTCAAGAAGGTTGCCAATCCTCAGACCGCTGGCGCCAAGAAAACTAGGTTGAATATTGCGAACCGACATTTGCGGTTCGTCGATCTACCTCTGAGCTTGCCAGCACATCTTCAACAGACGTACGTTGAAGCTGATACAAGCCGTTTCACACAGTTCTTAACTACGCCAATGTGACTAAGACTTTTTCCAAGACTTTCTTCAGCATTGAACATCACGACCACGGGACTTGGTCGTAAAGGAGGGGTGGGATGTGAGGTGTTACCCATCCTGCAGTGCCCATCTCCCCTGTCTTCTGAAAGATGGCAGCACCCGCAGCCACTTCGCCTGCTGTTCTTCCTCGCCTTGCTAGGCAGCGCCCAGTAGCAGATGCTAGCAGAGCCTGCCTAAGACTGCACACGTTGCTTGCGTAATGCAACACTTTGATGTGCTTGTGAAAGCGTTGCCCTATTTCACCGCAGGGTTTTCAGTCTATCCTTCATTAAATATAGAATTACAGTTCCCGTTTGTCTTCAGCCTTTCCCCCTGAGCCTCACACTGGTGAGATGCTGTTTCTTTGCATTTAAAGCGCAGTACGTTGAAGGGTTCACGAGCCATTCGTGCTGATGCTTGCCGAGATTGCGTGTGCGCTAGCGATCGAGACCTTACAATCCAAGCTAACAGCTACTGCTCGATTTATCACAGTCTTGACGAAACCGCATATCAAAACTGTTTCTATGTAACTGAAAGCACGACATTTCAGTCACGTTTTCAGGCATGGGGCACC